CTGTTGCTATATTTGCTACAACTTTGCCAAGGGTAGAACATAGCTACATTTTGTAGCTAATCAGATACGAAAAGTCATGTAGCTAATCAGATACGAAAGATCTATTACTAAAATTTTCTCTAATGAGCCACAGACAAATGGGTAGCCATGTTGTTGTTATTAGCTACGGCTATTACTCTCGCGAATCCGTTGCGAGCTGGATACGAATTGGCAACAGATCAGGTTTAGCGTCGGTACTGACACCACGACACCCGTCCGTCCATCGCTATCCGTTGACTCAAGGATTTTAGCTACGGATTGTCCGTTCTTTTTTGTTTTTCATGAAAAAAATCGGTGGCTATGTCGTGATTTCCTGTAGTGATATTCAAAACTGTGCTACTGAGTATAATGCTCTATTTGCTCTTGCAACATGTATGGTGTAGTCAGGGCCCGTGCCTGATGGAAGCCACTAAAACATGTGCTTGGAGCCTTAGATTAAAATAAGTATTTAATGGAACCATATTTTAAAAGTCTTCCCTAGTTCAGTTGGAGAGAACAGTTTTTGGTAGGTTTAAAGGTGAGAAGTTCGATCTCTCCTCAACTGGTAAGAACAGATTTTGGTAGGTTTAAAGGTGAGAAGTTCGATCTCTCCTCAACTGGTAAGAACAGATTTTTAATTTCCATTAATTCATTTATAAGATGGCCATAGAATTATTTTCTGCTTGGGGCCTATGAGATGTCAGGCACGGCTACTGGGTGTAGTAGGATCTAGTACCGAATCAATTAATTGGAAATTATACGAATATTAGTCTAAGAGTAGTTTTAAAGTTTTTAAACCCGTTTTGCGTCTAAAAATTCAATATGTTCATTACAATCTTTTTTCTTGCTTAGCCTAGTGGTTAGTGGTTAGTAAGGTCTAGCACTAGCACCGAAGCAATTAATTGGCAATTATACGAATATTAATTCGAGAATAGTTTTAAAGTTTTTAAATGCGTTTTGCGTCTAAAAATTCAATATGTTCATTACAATCTTTGTTCTCGCTTAGCCTAGTGGTTAGTGGCATATGTTCGGTCCTTCCCCTTTCAAGTTTGAGTAACAGGAAGCACATTATTTTGTTAAAAAATCAATTTCTATTGAAATTACAAAACTTACCGTCTTTTTTTTTTTTTCAAGTAAACTTACTGTCTCTTCTATCTTATCTCTACGATTTATGCCATCTTGCTATCGTCGCCTTTCGTTTTTGCGATTTAATTGATTTCTCTTGTTTTTCTTGTAGGTTTCAATTAAAATATAAAATCTAAAATCTAAAATCTAAGCTTAAAATCTAAATAAACCACGAGTTCTTTCAATTTTCCGATTTATTCTCATGAGTACAACCGAATCACCACGGTTGGGGCCGTTCCACCGGCCAAGTTGGCCGCTTTTCGAACATGGACTTGTGCTGTATATTATAACGAACGTATATATATGATATACTTGTATTACTTAAAAAAGAACATGCATGTGAAGATGAACATTTACATGATATTTTGTTAAGAAAAATGTTCGTGCATTGATCAAAGATAGAGTTTATAAAAATACATTTGAATTTTATAAACTAATATTAGAACATGGACTTGTGCTGTATATTATAACGTACGTATATATGATATACTTGTATTACATAAAAAGAACATGCATGTGAAGTTAAACATTTACATGATATTTTGTTAAGAAAAATGTTCGTGCTTTGATCAAAGATTCAAAGTATAGAGTTCATAAAAATACATTTGAATTTTATAAACAAATATTAGATTCAATAAATATAATAAACTAATATTTTTTTGTTTCCAATTGGTTTGTGGTGTATTTTTAATTGGAGTTTATGAATAATGACACGGTTGACAAACAAAGTAATAATTACTCAAACAAAACGATTGTCCGACTCTCAAAACAAAATGGCCAGATAATAATTAAATAAAAAGGGACAATTAATCTAATAATCAAAGAAAGATAAACAAATTAGCTCAATGAACCAAACGATGCACCCATGATGTAAGAACTTCTTCTTGAACATGTCATAAAAAATGGAAAATGGCTGGTTGACTTTCTCTAAACGTTCTTGCACGTCTCATACAATCGTGTAGACATGCCTGCACGATTAGATGGAAGGAGTCAGAAAAGAAACTGTATAGCTGGAGGTAGAGAAATACTTTGCTATATAAACCCATGGCCCCATTTCTAACAACACAAACCAAACAAGAAATATTAACCAACGTAAAAGCGTTGGTAGAGAAAAGGCAAATCACAATGAGATCTTCTTCAAGGATGGGGTCTTCAGCCCATCCCATCTACGCTTTAGGCGTGATCATCATGGCAACAATGGTTGCTGCATATGAACCAGTGACATTGCCACCACTCCCGTCATATTCACCATCTCCGAAGGTAGAATACAACACTCCTCCCCTACCATATATTAACAATTCTCCACCACCACCAACATACTATTCTCCATCACCAAAGGTTGATTATAAATCTCCTCCACCACCATATGTTTACAGTTCACCTCCACCACCACCATACTATTCACCATCTCCAAAGGTTGAGTACAAGTCTCCTCCACCACCATATGTCTACAGTTCCCCACCACCACCATACTACTCACCATCCCCTAAGGTAGACTACAAGTCTCCTCCACCACCATACGTCTACAGTTCTCCACCACCACCATACTACTCACCTTCTCCAAAAGTTGAGTACAAATCTCCTCCACCACCATATGTTTACAGTTCCCCACCACCACCACCATACTACTCACCATCCCCTAAGGTAGACTACAAGTCTCCTCCACCACCATATGTCTACAGTTCTCCACCACCACCGCCATACTACTCACCTTCACCAAAGGTTGAGTACAAATCTCCTCCACCACCATATATCTACAGTTCCCCACCACCACCACCATACTACTCACCATCTCCTAAGATAGACTACAAGTCTCCTCCACCACCATATGTCTACAGTTCTCCACCACCACCACCGTACTACTCACCTTCTCCAAAGGTTGAGTACAA